GGACAATGCAATCAAAATAACGAAGTAAACAATGACAGGTTAAGGGTCAACAATATCTAATCAAGAGCGGAGTTTACAGAACAAGCTGGGAGTCGTATATGGAGGAATTTGAACAATTCACTTTCACTTGAAGTTTGTGATAATGATGTCATTCAGAAGAACTATGAGAGCTTATGACCAAACCACCCAACTCAGAAAACAAAACTCCACCCAAACTATAGATCTTCTCCATCATCTCAAAGACCTAATGCATCATGACGTCCAACACTCCCTCAGGAAAGGCAGGTCATGTGCATCCAACCTCCTTACAGCATGGGACAGTTGGGTTAATTTCTGGGACAATAAAATATCGCTTCATGTAATAGTCTTCGATTTCCCAAAGGCTTTTTAAACAGTACCTCACATACTAGTCATAGCAATGGTTGCAAAGATTGTCTTTACTGATATACTTCTATCCTGGCTCCGAAACTACCCAGAGAACTGGATATTTCGTATTAAGTTAAATAGAGTGCACGCCACTTGCGAGGTTTCAACACCACGAGTTTAGCAAGAGTTAACCTTAGGGCTCACTCATGTTCTTAGTATTTATTACCTATCTGCTAGATAAATTGACGTAGACAGCCATCTACCGCTTAGATAGAATACGCCTGATGCACGTTTTGTAACCTTTCAAGCGGTAATCATTATCACATATCATTAACTTATTCCCATCTCTATTATCGTCATCATCATAATAATTCACGTTTCCCTTTTTCTTCTATCGCGCGCTATTTAAAAAGGACAGTGGTATTTTTCTTCGTTGAGTAAATTCTATTGTTTTGATCGTTATTAACGTATCAAGACTACTGTTTTTATACTTTGATTGAATTTCTTTCAGTTAAAGTATTCTATTAGAGTATCATCTTTGGTATCCGAAATAGTTTTATCGTCGGTACTCCAGAGTACCTTTGTTTTTCTTTTGTGTCTGTTAGTACTTTGGTTCTAGCTATTTATAGTTTTTTTTCTACTTGTAGTCAACACTCACTTTCGCATCCTAAAATGACTGGAAGATGCTACAAAAGCATTTGCCACCGCCCAGGATGTCGATATCCTGTTGATAGCGGCATGCAGTGCGATGAGTGCAAAGGTTGGTATCACGATGTTTGCACGAATCTAACACCTGCAGCTTTCAAGCGGTTCAGTAAAAATGGGTGCGTATGGCTATGTCAACAGTGCTGTTTGGATGCAAATAGCCTGTTAACCGAGGCCATCTCAATAGTGAATGCCGCAAAAAAGTGTCTCGGCAAGCGCGGTCGTGATACATCAGTCAGAACTCAATCTGTCGACACGCAGATTGACATAAGGCACGCCCAAGTGAGTCCAAAAACTGCCGACCCACACTCTACTACAGAGGAAGAACATCCTCCAAAGAGGACTGTTACAACCAGAAACTCGCGCAAAAAAGTCTCTTCTTCCCTCGTATCAAAAATGGTACCCAGAAGGGTACCACAGAACTGATCTTTGTCGTCGTCATCGCTATCATTGGTGGGTGCATAACATCTGATAACATTTATCGTAATTTCCTTTTTGTTTTTTTGAATGGTGCTTTGATGATCCTAGATAGATGAGATTCCTATTCTACAAGTGCATTTCGTGCTTCTTCGGAAGCATTAGAGCAACTACCGGAGTATGTGGAGCATTTTCCTCTTTGTGACCAGAGTACAGTAGCATCTCTCTTGAATCTATCCTTTTGTATACAGCTTAACAACATATTTTCAATTCAACAACAAAAGGAAGTAACACCGATGAGATCACCAATGTCGAGATTTTTGCAGTAGTAGTTATGCAGAGACCGGTAACCTCAAACTTATTAGTGACCAGGCTAAGAACTTGGACTCATTAAATAGACGACATATTCGTCACCTTCTAAAAGGGTACCTACAGCCTTTTGTATTCAGCTGGGGCTCAATGTGTTTCACTGCTTCCGAAAACTGCCAATTGGTATCTCATCATCTCCATCGCTATTCGATTGGTCTTCCCGGTCTCCCATATTGTTCGGACGTTCTATGTACTTAAAGAACATGTTGCTTTAGTTGTCAGAATGAGCATCGATCGCATGGCTTTTGAAAGATCCTGGCGATCATCCCAGGGCGTCATAATTCTTCCTTTAAGTAACAGGAAAGTTTTTTGATTTTTTCACTCTGAGTGACACTTTTTTTAGCAAGGTTGTTTTCTACGGGATATGGTTGCCGACGCCACGCCTAACCCTCCTAGTTTTTCTTTAACATGTAATACAACAAAATAAGAATGAATGATTCATTAAAGATTATGATGTGATTTATACGTAGGGTTTCATGGGTTGGGCGGTTATATCATGGCAAATTCATAATATCTATTATTACAGTAACGCAGATAAGATAAGATACCAACATGAGGTTGTGCAGGAATAGTGTTTATACTAAAGGCCACCATTTAATTTGTTTGATCTGGTTATTTTTTAGCAAACGTTTTTCGAATAGTTAAGCTAAATGGAGTACAGTCTTCACCAAAAAGTAATAAACATTTTCTCACTGGTCATAAAAAGGATGTTTATTTATAACGTGATGATTACAGGAAAAGTAAGGAGTTTTGGGGATATTTCTCAGATAATTTTATTTGCATGATCAGTTGAGTACCGTTCTATTCCCGTGATTTGGCGTTTCATTATCATCTAATACTGCCAACTAATTATGAACCGCTTGTTGCTTATGAGTTAGATTCAAACATTCAGCATTAGGGTTATTTGTTATACTCCGTCGCTCAAATTGAAGTTCCAAAAAGGATGGGGCGCAGACCTTAATTAATTAGGTTTTGTCGATTCGTTTGCACACATGTATTATTAATTTAGAAAACAACTAAAATACTCAAAGAAATGATCAGAAGTCACAGTATTTGAAACAACTTATAGCTAATCACTGTTTATTAAAAGTGTCCGGGAAAATCTACAAATAAACCTATTAGATTGATAACATGAAAAGTTTATCACTAATTTCCCTGTGCCAGACTAAAAGTCACTAGAAACATATGGTCACTTAAAACCATATAAATACTTCGTATACCGTAACGCAACAAATCTTATGTGTAAAGCTTCCATCATTTTACTTTTGCTGCCGTTTAAGTGCCATAAATCTCACGAATAGAGACGTTGGTATATCAAGGAGAAAAACTAGAAGCATAAAAGAACTATAAGAAACTCAGAATTTAAAGAAAGCCAAAAACTCAACGCGTTCAATCAGTGGTTATTATAATACGACGTATCCTAATCAGTTAGTCTGCTTCTACCTTGATGATTCAGATAAACTGTCTGATACTACATTTTGACTTGGTTGTCCATTGTTTTCTAGCCTGATAATGTACCAGAAAATGTCGTCCGTCGACATAAATGACGGTTGAAACTAATTCAAGAATTTACACTACAAACAAGCAATACGTATAATAGTAGAAAGAAAGAACACACTGATGTCATTGGTTCATTATATATATATATATAATTTATTGTAACATACATAAATATAGTCAAAAGAAAATTTATGGTAGCAGCAAGTCGATAGATAAAAATAACATTAAAATGTGTGTGAGAGAATTGAACAGTGTGAATACTTAAAGACTCAGCCAAATAAACATTTATTATCACTTATACTGGATAGTTGTGCAATATGACCACAAACATTTTGCTCATCATCATCATCATCTACACCATAAACATCACGTTCTCCATTATTATCAATATTGTTTTTGTTTGAAGAAAGGTCATTATCACATTTCTTTGATTGTTCAACAATACCTATACTTGCTTGAGTACATTCTTCCTGTGACAATACCTCAATATCAGGATCTTCTTCATTGTCTATTACAACATCATTTCCTGTTTCTTGATTTTCTTCTGCCTCCACCTCATCATCATCTTCAGTATCAGTACTTGATGTATCACTACTATCATCATCGTCATCTGATGCAGCTTCTTCTTGTTCCTTGAGGATTTCTACAATTCTTTCAGGAAGTGGACGAACAGTGAACTAAAAAATATTATAATTACAATAATCAGCTACAAATGTCAACAATGGGAAATTATTTACTACTCTGAGTAACTACTAATGTCATGTTTGTGTAGTCTTTTAGAGTTTACCAAATCTTATAGTTCAAGTTCGAATATGTCTACCAGTCTACGTGCGCCATGTTGTGATGTTAGTTAGTTTGAGGTAATTGGCAGGAAACTCTAGTGAATATAGGTTTTACACTAATCAGTACTCGTCGGCCAGAAGTAACTATAATCTTAAGAGAGCTAACTTTGCACTGATTGAAGCAGAGCGTTTATCAAGCACTGAGTTGCTTTCCTTATTTAGGTGAAACTTTAATGAACACTACCAGTTGTTGAGACTATCTATAGGTGATAACTGATATGACTAAAACTTTTCATCAGTTTTTAACAACTATCACAATCAAATTAACATTACAAAATAATTTAATATTCGATAATATTTTGAGTTAGAGATAGAACTGTATAACTTAATGAGCTAGCGCTACCAGCAACGTTTCTAATGTTGCACACAACACTTAAAGTAATAATTTGCAAACTTAGTGTATGAGTACTGCATATACTAATGTAGTTTTCATAAGAGATCACATCTCAAGACCTACTATTCACTATATTTGTGTTTTTCACTCTAAATATAGGACTGTAGTACACTGAAATGTTAATAGTAAACAGTTACGGGTAACTGTAAGTACTTCTCATGAAGTGTTAAATAAACTACGTTGTGGACGACTTCAGTTACAGATTTTTATTTTAAGAAAAGCTCCTGAATATCTGTCATATTAGTTCACTATAATAATCGTTTTTTTTAATAACATAATTATCAAATTAACTCAGAATAGGTTGACTGCTCAACTTGTGCATATGTGTGGATGTGTGATGAAGCTATGTAATAACAACATGAAATATAAATCGTAGATTACATAATTCAATATTTAAAAAAAACAAGCAACAACTATGTACGAACTTTCGAATATTTGTCTGTTTGTTCTAACAAAAAATATTGAATTAGAGGTCTTTACAATCGATAAGGTTAGAAACAATGTTATCAATGGTAGACTTTATATTAAATGCATGGGACACATAGAACAAATAATTACAAATATTTATTTATTTTTTAGGATGTTAACTATTCTGATTATTGAATTTCATGATACAGAAGTTTTATTGAATAAGAACAACAGTTCTGAAATGGCAGTGAATATTTGCAATTTAGCTAGATATTTTTAGTGTTGTTGAGTTCTATGTACTACAAAATGGTGTAATTACGGAGCTTTCATTATCATTTCAAACAACAATAATAATGTTTACTTTATGTAAAAAAAAGAATTGAATGAAAGTTTTACAATTTAAGTTATGTAGCACAGGGAATACAATTAATATAAAGCCCCCAAATGCCCTGGTACGGCCGAGGGTGGGGAGAGTCCGCTCTCCCTCTACAAATGCTCTCACATGGGCGTGGGCATACAGCCACTGCCAGGGAAGTCCTACCACTACCTTCTCGTGGTATTACTGTTGTTTACGAAATTGAGAGGACGAAAAGCGAATATCTGGAGATCTAGCCGGATCGGTGGACACGGAGGATCAATCTAGGAAAGTTGGGAAACCCTGATCTAAATCAATGATGGCACACGGGCTCCAGTATCTTGAAGGAACAAGTGGTGTATGAAACAATCGTTGGTCACTGGCTACCATGGGACTGAATCTCCTGCCGTCGTTCCACTGCCTTGTAGTTTAGACGTTTAGGTCGAAGGCTCTGGGTGTGGTCCTCTTAGAAAACCATCTGCTTCAGTTTCATCACCTGGAAAGTATCATAGCCCACACACAAATCAAGTGACTTAGGTGGCACATATGTATTTGGTGCCTCCTAGTACCAGTAATTATGTTTAAATAAATAAAATAATATAAAAAAACTAGGTCTATTACTTCTTGAAGCTGATCACTTACCCTAGTGGTTGCTTTTTAAGTGATTGAAATAATTACACAAACTCTTCCTAAACTTTCCCTTGTTGTAAACTTCTACTAAGCGTATTGGATCATACGGATTTTACACAGTCTTAGGTTTAATAGGTGACAGATATATATTTATGAGTAACTTCGTAGCAAGAACAACTGATTTATAAATTTGCACAATAATTTTGCATGATTTGCAATGTGGTTTCTATTGCATAGAATGCGATGATTCGCCTTGATACAATTCTTTCTGCACTAAGGGACTAGATAAACATATAACAAAGTCACTACTCAGCGATCAATTAACTGCAAATATTTTAGTCTTACATGAAGTCAACAGCAATTCGTATAAATCAGTGGTAACACCGTAGGTTGTGAAAGTAGATAATGCTGGGTCATATGTAATAGGAAGTAACATGATTTTCCTCAAGACTGGAGGTAGGATTTGTTGACGAGTGTCGAATAGCATGAAACCTAGGCCAAGGAAGGTTTCCTGCAGACTATCTCCAACTAACTAATATCACAACATGGTACACGCGATATCACATCACGTAGACTAGTGGAGAAATTAGATCATGATCGATAGAATCTGACCAGAAATAAAAGACTACACAAATATGGCAGTGATAATCACTCGGTCATTAAGTAATTATAAACGATTTTTTTTACCGTTATGTACTATTCTCATTACGGACAAGTGAAGTTGTCTGCAGATAATAACGCTTAAGGAAAACATAAATACAAGGTAACTCGCAATGTGTTCAATTCAACCTTCCTGAGTTTTCATTTAAAACAGAAAAAGACTCGAGTAAGAAAATATTCACACTTATTTGTAAAAACAAAGAAGTTTATAGCGTCGGACGTTCTACTGTTTGTCGTTTGCATCCATAATATACATTCGATTATACAATATTTATTTATAAATCAAAGAGTTTGATATTGTATTCACCTCATGTGTTGAATAATTTGAACAGACTTTTTAAGTTTACACTTTACTGGCTAAATGATTAATTCGAATTCCAAATGAGAATAAAAGAATACCATGTGGATATTTGAACTATTATATTAGTGTTATATCCCGATAAAAAAAGTGAAGGGCAAGTTTGGGTTCCATTTATGGACCAATATTATGCATATAATTTTTATCGTATAATTGCTAAATAATTAAACTAATCATATTCATGTTCCTTTCATTGTGAGCTTTATTTTGACCCTTGGACTATTATTGTACGATTTACCATTCTCGAGTTATACCCAGTCTATAAATTACTGCTCCCCCTATTCACAGCCACATTTGGCTAACTCTTGTACAAATGTTATTTTCTATTTTATTGGTACGATGCGATCTATCTGTTCGGTATATAAACCAAGTATGTTTGAAATACAATGATTCATACCACAGAGGCTGTTATTGGTGTTTTGGACTTAACTGGCTGGACTAGTCAGAAGCAGGATCGATAAGCGCTGTAGACTGCTCGTACGGTTTTCGTGCGTCACTGTCCCAATCGATAATTCGCTGCTCTCTGATTGGCGTTCTTATTAAGTCATACATTAGCTGGGCATCCACTCGGCCACAAGATATAACAATTAGTTTAAGTTTAACTGTTACAACTATTACAATCATTAGAAGTGTTTATTAAAACATTAAAGTTTGAATTTATAGTACGGTTTGATTGATAATGTGTTTAGACTGCTTATATTTATCACTTTTAAGTATTATCAGGAGTCAGTCAATCATTGTAATACGTTTTTACAAATACATTATTAACAGTATAGAACGCTTCACAAATATAAATATTTAAGTGTTATGTGTTCTCAAAGCTTGACAGTTTAGCATTGAGGTTTACCACTGTATTTAAAGACAACATCAGAGCCTACTTTAAAAAGTAAGCCGTTTTTTAAATTCAATTACAATTAATTACCACTTAGTTGTGTTGACTTAGAATTTAATGGACTGTCCCCATGAATGTGTGGTCAGTGTTGCCTTTTCTCCTCTAAACTGGTCTCAGACATGACAGTCAGTTATCCAGATTGAAGAACATAACACTTCCACGTAATGATCATATTGAACTACAAATATTCAATGTGATATATCAAAAGTATACAGCACATAAAATGAAGACATACACGAATACATTCAGTGAAATCACAATCCATGTAACTATCTGAACGAACAGATAGTACGTACAAATACTGACCAGGGATAGGAGGTGCCACAAATCTAAGTTGTAGCTATAAAACAAATTAACGGAAAAACAGAAAAAAAGATGTTTGCAAAAAAGTAAATTATATATATATATATATATATATATATATATATATAATTTTGTGTAATTATGGTTAGAAATAACTGAATACTCAACAAAATGGGGTTGTGAAAGTTGTTCAAATTTATTGAAATCGCGAATAGATCCAATTAAGACGGATATTGGAAATTCAGATGCGGTGGTTGGCTCTCTTGTCCTAGATTGAGATACTTCAGCAGTGGGTATTTTAACAAACGCACAGCCGAGAAGCGAACCCAGGATCTTTGACAAAGGCTGAGGGTTGTGACAAATAGTGAATTGATTGAAGTCAGACGTATACATCTTTGGGTGCCGGCCCAGTGGTCTAAAGGTTAAACGTTCACACGCGAGACCGAAATTCCTGGGTTCGATTTTCGGTTACGGGGTCGTGGGTTCCTATTCCTGAGGATTCCTTATACTAGGACGAAACGGAGTCCATTGCTTCTAGGTTTTAAATGGTAATTTAGATAAGATCCGTTCATTATTTAAACCATAAAGATTAGGATATGTTTGTTTTACCTAACGATTTATAAGTACTTTTATATATATTTTACATTCTTTTTCCTAAAATATTAGTGCCTAGACCCTGTCAAAGGTTGAAAAATGACAATATGATAATAAAAATCTGAGAATCATGAAAATGAAGCCCCCGAATGCCATGGTACGGCCGAGAGTGGGGAGAGTCCGCTCTCCCTCTCCAAATGCTCTCACATGGACACGCATATAAGGCCTCTGCCAGTGAAGTCCTACTCACTACCTTCTCATACCAGGGGTGTTGTTTATAAAATTGAGAAGACGGAAAGCGAATGTCCAGCGCTTTAACCGGGTTAGTGAACATGGAAAGTCCATCTAGGGAAGTTAGAAAACCCTGATTCCAAACCAATGGTGCACATTGGCTCCAGGATCCTGAGAGAACAAATGGCGTATGAATCAATCGTTGATTACCGGCTAATAGGGGACTGCATCTCATTACGATGCTCCACTGCCTTGTGGATCAGACCTTTAAGTCGAAGGCTCTGGGTGTGGCCCCCTAAGAAAACCACCTGCTTCAGTTTGGGCACGTGGGCAGTATCACAGCCCGCACACAAATCGAATGAGATTTGTGAGGCGCATATGTATTTGGTGCTTCCTTGTACCAATATTTATATGTTTAAATAAATAAATAAAGGAAAATGAAACTTCTAAATCTTCAAATCAATTCATACATTTAAAATGACATAATTTCTATGAAAATTATATTTTGAACGAAATCTGCATTAGGTGTACACGTTATGTAGAAATATATTTTCATACCATGACATTTTTTTATTGTATGATTGGAAAAAAAGCCTTTGCTTGTCAAATTTAAATGATTTAAGCTTACAAAATGAGAGTATAGTTTTTCGACCTACTAGTTAGTATTATGTTTTTAAAAATTTAACTTAAAATAAATCAAAGACATATTATTTTGATCCAGATCAGTTTGGAGCAGTATAACATATTAATACAGTTGCATAACTGATAACTGACTAGCTTTAATTTTTGCAACTTCTCAGCCGTATTTATCCACACACTATTTTTTTAGATTTCGCAGAGAGTATGGTAATTATCAAGTCAGTCATTCAGCTACAACGTAGGACCAGGCACATTTATGCATCAGTCTAATTTGCCATACCTTACTCATTAGCACAACAAGCTTGACACCGGATTCATAGAAGTAGTTAATTTAGTGGTGGTAATATATAAAACATGGTTTGTATATAAGGATATAGTACAGGAAGAAAGACAGATATGAAGCAATTTCAATCTCAAGGTTTAAAGGAAGATGCCCCCAAATACCCTGGTACGGCCGAGAGTGGGGAGAGTCCACTCTCCATCTCGAAATGCTCTCACATGGCCACACGAATATATAGCCTCTCCCAGGGAAGTCCTACTCACTGCCTTCTCGTACCAGGGGTGTTGCTTACGAAAGTGAGAGGACGAAAAGCGAATGTCCGGCGCTATAACCGGGTTGGTGGACAAGGCGAGTCCACCTAAGGGAGTTGGAAAACCTCGATTCCAAACCAATGGTGCACATGGGCTCCAGTATCCTGATGGAACGAATGGCGAATGAACCTGTTGTTGGTCACCGGCTAATAGGGGACTGCATCTCCTCACGATGCTCCACTGCCTTGTGGATTAGACCTCTAGGTCAAAGGCTCGGGGTGTGGCCCCCTAAGAAAACCACCTGCTTCGGTTTGGGCACCCGGGCAGTATCACAGCCCTTTCGCAAATAAATGAAATGGAACATTCAGCTGACAATTATATTCTCGTTCATACAAGAAACAATTCAATTTGCATTATTACTATTATTATTATTATTATTTACCATATCGCTAATTCACCCCTTTTTATCCCCAATTTGTGTAACCTTACTTTTCAACTTATGCAGCAGCTCGCTCTTGGTGGAAAATCTGTCCTATCTAAACGATCTCCAGTCACTGTCTGGTTGAAAGTGAATGCTTCCACCGATTATGAATACTGAAACAGTCTTTCTGAAACCACGTACACCGTTCAAGCTGGCTTCCTTTTGAGGAGGTCAGTGTATGACATGGTGTCGTGGCATGAAAGAGAGCTGCAAAGGACTAGCTTCTGTCGGTCCTTCACGACTCCCTGGCTGGGGTCCGAGAGATGGTGCAACACAGTGGCTAGAGACGTTATCAGATATGGCTCAGAATAGAAGCCAGTGGCGAGCCTGCTGTAACCTTCTTCTACTTTCTTCATAAAGAGTGGCTATAACTTTCCTAACTGAGAGAGCTCTTATAGTTGTACATTCAGTTCCCCCCATCATCACTCTTCTCCTTTTCTTTTTTTCCTTCTTTTATATATACGCATCTTCTTCCTTCTCCCATTCTCATTATTTTGTGTGGCGCATATGTATCCGGTGCCCTTTGTACCAATATATATGTGATTAAATAAATAAATTAATTAATTAAAGGAAGATAAAGAGTGTAGGTTAATATCAAACTGATGAATCAAAATTTAACAATTCATATTTCTATCCTTAATCTATAATATGTTTACATTATCTATAGTTTACAGGTTGTAATATCTATACAAGAAAAGATGATTGGTAAACAATGAAAATAAAAGGAATTCTAAAAGTGTACAGAACTTATAAAACATTAATTCTAACTGAACTGACCTCCTCTTCATTTTGTAATGTGGCAATGTAAATAGGTTTAGTGATAAGTTGTCGAGTTTTTCGGTCAGCTAGATATATCCACCAACCTTCAAATTTCTCCTGTAAATAGATGGTAAAAAAAACATAGTATAGATTAACGCACACACACATATATATAGAGATCACTAGTATGAGTAAGAACACAAACATGAAATATGCACTTTGAAGTAAACTATGTAATGATATAGTCACATTATACTACTTGTTTTTACATTACAACTATTAAATGCATGAGAACGTTCAACGATGAAGATGTACAACTATTGATTAACACTTTAAAGAATTAAAAGGTTATCATATACTGAATAATTTAGTAAGTCTTATCTAGGATCACTTTAACTGTCATTTTTCAGTGGTCGACATAGTGTCTGCGACGTTAAGGAGTTCATGCCATCTGTTGAAATATTATTGACTACGGTGTGTTCAAATTTTAATTTAAAATAGGATTTACATTGCGATCAGTTTTAGAAAATATGGATGAGTACAGGATTACTTTCCTAATCGAAGTAACTTATTGAATCGTGATTAAAAGACACTAAGTCCCATACTAATATTCAATTTCGGTGATGGGAGAATTTCTAATTCTACAAAAATTAATGTGAAGAAATCAAACTTCATCTAAATATTCAACAAAAATCATTCGAAATTTAGTCCTAAGCTCGCTAGGAAACGTAGATGAACTAGTGAGTACACACACTGGAGGTTATGAAACAGTGAGTCACTTACGACGCTACGTTTTTGTAATTTAAAAAAATATACACTGATCAGATTGTAAATGAAATAATTCAAACAATACCATTAGACGTGAAAATTTCAGAACGCAAATGTAGGGATATCAAAGGATTGATGATCCGAAAGTGATATTGAGGTAAAATAAGGATCTGAATCCGAATATTACTCCAAACTTCGCAGATGATCTGATTTCTTGATTGAAATTTTCAAAGATACATAAAATATTGAGTTGAGGAAAGAGAAAAACAACTCAGTTAGTTCACTTTGCAATAAAACTTCACACAGATTCTTCGGATTCCTCAACTGATGAATATAAACTCACTTAGAGAACGTACAGGCCTAACTAAAATACTACCACACATACGACCGATAACTAAGTTTTAGTATTGTTAAAAAAATTGACAAGAACTAGTATTTGGAATCGGATTTGATAATATGTGGTTAGAAACAATCAAGAGCTAGATATAAATGAGTAACCATGTTGGTGTTGACATTAGTATGGGAGATGAGATTAGTTTATTTATAGCGAATAACAGAGTGGGTTACTTCTAAATTTAGGTTACTTTTAGACTAATCACAACGTCAGTCTGACTATTACAATGTCTAGTGGGAAATGTTAAGCTATAATCGGTTCTGTTTACCCTTTTTTTTACCACAGTTCATATAAACTGAGAATATTCAATGACACTGTGTTCAATTACTATTGTTTGTGAAAAATTGCTTGATAACAGTGGAAGTACTTTGTAATTAATGTTGACATTTAATAACATCTATTTAGATATAAAATATCTTCTAAGAAGCGATAGTAATGACACTGGATGATTATACAGTTTTGAGTACAGATTAACTGATTTTAATTGGTCAGAATTACAACTTACCACAGGAAAATAAGGACAATGAACAACATGTGTACAATGTGTTTTTGAATCCATCATACTAGACAATTTACTGTGTGGTTTCATAGGTTTTCTACTTGAAGAAGATTTAGTTGTACTTAATGAAGATGGTAGGGATGATTCAACGAAAGTATTTGTTGTAGTTTTTCTTTGGACTTGTCCACCATCAATATGATTTGGTTGAACAGATTCATCTTTTTCTTTGATAGAGATGTCGGATGGGACTGATGAATTGGTAAAACCAACATGATTTGGGATCTCTGCAAGTATAAGGCGTACAGAGATAAAGCACATAGTATAACTTACAATGAAAGTTTGAGATTGTGAAAAGCAGCAGAAGAAACAACAGCAATTTTGAGTTGGCAAAACAGATGAAGGGGAAGATTTCAGTTGTTAAAAAGGTGACATATCAATACTACTACTTTCCTATTCAACCATTAAATAACATATCAGTTGGCAGTAACTTGATAATTGTAGGTATATATTTGATATCACTTACGCGTTATAACTGTTAGAACAACCCCTCATAAATTCTTACCGAAGCTAATGATATATATATATATATATATATATATATATATATATACTGACTTGAAAAACGGACATTTCAAGAGTTGAAATTTTCGAGTAATTTGATCAAGACACTAGTTTTTATACAAGGATGTAATGGTAACCTCTTACGTCAACTTGGCAAAGTGATCTGATAGGAAACGACTATTCTCTGAAAAGTTTATGGTGAATTAATGAAGTGTAAACATAAAGTGATGATTTATTTATTTAAACACATAAATATTGATACAAGGAAGCACCAGATACATATGCGCCTCACAAATCTCATTCGATTTGTGTGAGGGCTGTGATACTGCCCACGTGCCCAAACTGAAGCAGGTGGTTTTCTTAGGGGGCCACACCCAGAGCCTTCGACTTAAAGGTCTGATCCACAAGGCAGTGGAGCATCGTGAGGAGATGCAGTCCCCTATTAGCCGGTGATCAACGATTGATTCATACGCCATTTGTTCTCTCAGGATCCTGGAGCCCATGTACACTATTGGTTTGGAATCGAGGTTTTCCAACTCCCTTAGGTGGACTCGCCGTTTCCAACAAGAAGTTAGACATTAGGAATTTTAAAACTTTTTAACCAGAATATTAAAATCTAACAGATTTATTCGATTCTGATATGTGATATTTTTCTTTCATTACAACTAATATGAGTGTTCATTTCTTTGACTATTGTATAAAAAGTCTACATTGAAAATAGGCCATTGTTAATGAAGTTTGACAGAATTAATCCAATGCAAATGTCAAATGCTTTAACGGGGTTGGTGGATACGGAGCATTCACATAGGGAAGTTAGAAAACTCTGATTCCAAACCAACAGTACACATGGACTCCAGGAACCTGAAGGAACAAATGGTGTGTGAACCTATTGTTTATCATCGACTACCATGGGACTGCATCTCCTAACGTTTTTTTCCACCACCTTTTTGATTAGACCTCTAGGTCAAAGGCTCAAGGAGTAGCTCCATAAGAAAACCACCTGCTTCGGTTCGGGCACTCGGACAGTATTCAAGCCCTCATACATATCGAATGATGAAGTGTGGCGCATATGTATTTGGTGCCTCTTTGTGCCAATAATTACGTGTTTGAATAATAATATTAAATGAATTCACAAGATGTCAGTTTATTTATCTACGAGTAGATTAAATTACTGATTGATAATGTTACTAGTAGATGTGAAACAATGTTAGTGGATTTTTAACAGAACGTTGAACATAATATAAATTTTGGTTCTAAAACATTTAAATGAACAATCCAAGACGGGGTAAATAGTATAATAATGCATATTATCGCAGGTCAATTCAACTTGACTGTATTAAAGCGAATGATATTTGTTTCTACTGTAGTACAATTACAAAAAAATACCATACTCTTTTTTGTCTACATTTTTGTACATAGTTCTTGAATAATTTATTTGTAAAGTAGAACTATCAAAGGAGTTGTCTTCTTTGCCACTCTTTATAAAAACTGTTAAATTTGTTTAGAAAGCAATAAATTATGCTTCACAATAATTATAGTGTTTAATACATTGTAGTATCAGTTTATTTGTTAAGCCCATATACTTTATTCTAGTTGCTGGCCAAGCCAATTCGCCTATCCATTATGAGTCATATTTTGATCTTGTTAATCATTTGCTTATTAACCTTGACTATACTTTTATATGAGCGTATATGTGTACACTTCGTATCTTATTCATCGTACGTCTGTCACTCATTTTTGTCCGACTATAAATGTTGATTACCGCTTGCTTAAATCGAGTTGGCTTACCAGCCATCTCCACTGCATGTCATTTCCGCCTTGTTCGCTTCCTTCGCTTATTCGCCTGTTCACTCGCTCGTTATTATTCGCTCAGGTGTTGCTAACTTTCTGACCTGAGTTATTCGACAATAAACTGTAGTTGCTGCTATCCTTTGTATTCTGATTTTACGCGCCTTTAAGATTAGAATTATATCGCGGCACTACAACATAATTTCAAACAGAGTATTATCAGCGTGAAGAGGATTTCAAGATAATTTTACTAATCCTGGAAGTTATTAACTATTATTCTGACTGATGTAAATTGTTTTTTTGGAAGGAGAAAATTGGAAGGTAGTAATCCTTCTATGCAGAATGTTTGTAGCTTTGTCACCTTTGAAATCAATGATCGTATTAAGTAATAATTTAAGTAATACAAAAGTTATTGATACTCATGGATGTTCAGTGTTTATATTTGTTATCAGTAAAATTCTGATGGATATACGTTTTCGATAAGTATTTCTTTTAGACGGTTTAATTCTTTCAAAAATGTTGGATTCATGTAGCGTGAGGATGTTGGCAAAAATACAAATTTGAAATCTACGAAAATAGAGAATTCATTGTTTTACAAGAACACTAATTTCGAGAGTGACAAAGAAGTAGAAAACTTGAGAAGGACAATTTCTGCCTTCCTCAGAAGAACATTCTTTAGTCGATAAATGACTTTGAACTTGTTAGTCGATGTTAAACTAGCAGTAATGAAGCGCTGAAGCTGTAAAAGCTAGAACAAAGAAAGATTCAAAACAACTGAACTAATAGGGGCTGAATAAATGACATAGACGTTAGCATGAATAAGTATTGAACCAAACACATATTTTACCACATTGTAGCGAGAAAATTAACAAGGTGGGAAGGTGGACTAGAAGAAATAACATTAACAACTGCAGTAAGAAGCTGCTAAACATGAGCGATATTTGATGGTGACAGTAAAATATGATTGGTTACTGAGGATCGACAAACAGAAACTTAGCCTACTGATTATTACATATGTGATTTCCTTTCCTCTCATTTATTTCTACTACAGACTCACTGAATGTGACTGCTTGTAATTGTGTTGAATAAAGTATTATCTATATAAGAACTTTCGTATTATCTAGTCTATAAAATCTGGTTATCTTTTCTGGATCACGAATCCTGGATCTGATATGACGTAACTAATCTAATTGTTGTATTAAGGTAGTTTAACTGAGTGAAAAAATTATTTTTAATCATCCATTATACAGTCAGTCAGTGCAGTTAATTGTATGAGGGCTAGTATCACTTACGGCTGCCCACACCGTGGAAGGGTATTTCTTGAGGGACCTGAAAAAGAAGTTGGATTAGTGTTGGTCTTAACGACCTGGGAGCGTGACCGCAGATCCCAAGGGACATCTGCTTGAGGCCGGTCACGCACGGCCTTTTTGTGGGGGACTATTGACGTGTAAGCTCCGTTCTTCAAAAGTCCTTACCGCCGGAGACGGAAATCCGTGGGATAAGGCGAGGTGTGCATTTTTAGGGTCGACCTTTTCTAACCCCACCCCTCCTTGTGGGAAGGCAGCATCGCTGTCATGCTGGTTGTCTGAAGGAAACACCTTACTGCTTTCACACCTCTGTACAGTCGGCAGTACGACTTCGCCTTCGGACCTTGGGATTGCTGCTTTTAGTCTCACCGCTCTTCAACCGACCTGTCTGGCATGGTAGGACCTTGAGGAACGATTGTTCCAGCCAGCATAGCTCGATTGGATCATCACGATAGGCAAGCCCGACCACCACGTCAAGGTAGCAGCAACGGTCGGGCATCCATTATACCAATAAGAAAATATACAGAATAGATGAAATATGGCTAAAAATGAAATCCAGAAAGCAGATTTCATCTTATCTGAAACTCATCGGCTAAGTATACCTACATATGAGAGTTGATGTTCACTCACTGATTCAAGACCAATACTCGTGTTTTCAAACCTCAAAACACTATAATTCACTTAGCAACTGAGTTCAGACAGCCAATAAAGATTGAATAATTCCAGTTCTAAACATCGATATGGGGATTTGTGGAGATTGTAGTACTTTTACAGTTGAATTCAGGAGTCGACATGAGCTAGACAACCATTGAAAACCTAGAATCACTAGACGGTCGTTCCCTCTTAGTATGGAACTTCTCAGTAGTGCTCATTCACAATACCGCATGCAGGACTCGAACCCAGGAATTTTAATCTCGCGCGCGATTGCTCAACATCTAGACCACTAAGCCAACATCTAACGGTGTTAATGTCTAACTTTAATCTATCCATGATCATGCGTGACCCTTCATCCATTGCCTTGCGGTGGATGACTGTCTCAGTCCCAACTCGGATTGAACTCTACTAGTCACGGCTTGTTACTAGAACTTCAGCAAATCCATCTTGAAGCTAGCCACTAGTGAGCACATGGTTATTATCAGTATGGGGATTTATGGAGATTGTAGTATTTTAACAACTGAGCCGTGGATTCGTCCCATACTGGGACGAAACAGACATCCAGTACTTTCAGATATCCAATGGTGGTCTAGCTTAGATTGACTCGTCAAATTCAACTTTGAGAATTCTGAACATGATTTGAAGAAATAAAACAATAAATACAAATGAATCAAACCAACAACAGATATCACTTACTATCAATGCCAACAACAGAATCACTATCTTCTTGTTCTGAATCAATTTCATCTGTAGGATTAATTTCCGATTGGTTGACTTTTTCTGATCCCAATAAGGAGTTTCTTTGCTGTTGTTGCTGCTGTTTACGTGATTTACTTTTGCGTACACCTTTTTTCCGTTTACTTTTATCCCAAACAGGCGGAGTGGTTTTCTTTGATGACTTCATTGAATTGCCAACATTATCAAACTGAAATATTACAAGGAAATTTTGACGAAAGGAACACATATACGCATAAAATGCAGAATCTAACAATGTCACATATATAACAGAAAACTAACATATAAATGACTCAAACACATATAAATAGAGTGGGACTAAATATTAAGTATTGGTGTACGGTATTAGATAAATACAGTGGTTATGCTACATGTTACAAGTGTCCAGTTACCGATTGTCTCAATGTACTATAATGACTAGCATAGAATAGGTAAGAAGAACATACAAAAAAGTATGGTTCCGATTCATGAAGTCACCAATTGTTAGTTTGTTTGTGCAGAGAGAATGTACGCTTTTAGGTTAAAAATTATACGAGAATCAACAATGGGAAAAAATCATTCTACCGAAATTTTCACACTATGTGAAGATAACCTCAACAGTGATCAACTATGTAGCAGGACTGAATTATACAACAGTCGATGTAACTTTTCAAGAACCAGAGCAAAACATCGATAAATATTTCTTCCAATAACAACAGAAATATATGCTTGACTACTATTGAATTAATATGGCGGATTTGTGAAGATTGTAGTATTTTCAGAGATGAAATCACGAACCGACTATAGGAAGAACATCATTGGAAACCTGAAAGCCATGGATAACCATACTAATAACAGTTATGTGCTCACTAATGACTAGCTTCAAGATGGATTTGCTGAAGTTCTAGTAACAAGCCGTGACTAGTAGAGTTCAATCCGAGTTGGGACTGAGACAGTCATCCACCGCAAGGCAATGGATGAAGGGTCACGCATGATCATGGATAGATTAAAGTTAGACATTAACATGGCTGAACGTTAGGCATTCACGCAGAAGAGAGGTTCTGTATTCGATGTTTTTTGCTCGCCAGGTCGTGAATGCGTACTGGTAATGGGTCAGAAACAATTGAAATAACAGAGAACCAGGCAACAGAATAAGTGAAAGGACCATCAACAACGATAAAAAAAACTCCAACTTACTCCCTTATCTTCATCGCCACCACCACCACTTCCAAGAAAATCATCATAATTCAACGATTTCAACGTCTTTGTACCATGTATATCAGCGATAGGGTAAAGTTTAGAATTTAATGAATCATTATTATTATAGGCATTCCAATCAAGTTGCATTGTTTGACCACGATCGAAATAACTTGAATCCGGTAATGTAGTAGGAGAATTAGTAGTACCAGAGTTAGTAGTAATTGTATTAGTATTGGTAGTATGTCCATTAGCGTTCATAGCACTACTCACTGCATTCGGATCTAATAATGGTTTACGTTTTAATAGAACAGTAACTGTAACCATGCTAAATGGCCAAATACTTGAATCATCTTCATCTTCATCTAATACCTAGTGGATTAAGAAATAGAATTACAAATTTGCAAGTAGAGAGAGAGGGAAACAAAATAGCTGCATGTTTTTTAAAATAGTTTGCGATCTGCATGACTGGATACCTTTGGGAGGTGATAAATTCATGAGGGTAGAAATTTCAGTCTATGTAATAATGACAAAGAATGTGACCAAACTTACTTTTTAAAATATTAAAGATTCCCATTATGAAAATTAGAACAACACATGTAAGCTTACATATGTTGTTCTAATTTTCTTTTTAAAGTCAAAATATTAAGTAAATATATGTTAGATAGCATAATACTTCAATGACTGAGGTACTAAGAACAAGTATTACATGTGTTAAACAACTGACTATCCTGTCAAAGGACGTTTGTTTGTGTGGATGTTTGGAATAAAGCTAAGAGTAGCTAAACCAAAACGTGGGGCAATCCATGAAATCGACTGACGACCTGTTTGCGTCGTGTAGGCAGATATAAACTGAATGTTTAGAGTTAGTTCAATCATTGTAACCAATTGTTAAAGACTTGAGTGATATGATGCAGATATGTATAATTCACTCTTTGACTTTCTTTACATCTTGAATATTTTATACTTTTTGTTCTGTGAATTTAATCTTTTCTTCTCAAATGATATTGCATACTTTTAATGTTTTCAACTGGCACTGATGCTGTTACCATCCGGGCACCTGTCGTAATAATTTTATCTCATCATGCTGATATGATGTAGGAATTTGAACTGATGAATATATGTGTCATGATTTACATTGCTTCTAACTGATTGAGATGACGTCCATAGAAACTTAGGAATAAGGGAGCTTTTTGGCAGAATGTGAATCCACTTTGGATGTTTATAAACAACGAAGCTATACAAATAGAACACCAGTTATATCATGTTTGTTTATTCTTTAATGCTGATCACATTTTATCGACCATGTTGCCATGTAGCGACTCGTACAAGTAACTTGACATTGGATAAATTTTGTTTTGATATCAGTTAGTAATTTAAATAAACTGGTAGGTAGATCTGTATCCAGATTTTGTGTTCATCACGACCAACCAGTAAAGCAGTCGCAATAATGTCATTCCTGACATTTGAATGTGCTGACATGGTATCCAAAAGTGAATTAAAAAGCAAAGATTTCTCGTTATAGTCCAAGCTGTGCTACGCTACAGAATTTTATTGACAAAAATTCAGGACATTGTGGTGTGTACTTATCATGCTACACTCATTTATCATCAAATAAGTAAGTATTCAACGACAGCAAAAATAGAGACAGAGTTCATTTTTTGTAGTGAGAAATGAAAAAAAGAACAATAGATAATTACTGCAGCGAATTTGTGAAGACTTTAGAATTTTATAGTTTAAAAATTCGAATCATCGGATGCTGATTCGGAAGTTTAGAGGTTAAGCGCTCCTTGGAGGTCCTGAATATCCTAGGCCATAAGCCCAGGTAGGGTCTTGGGAGCGCTTTGTTGAGGAGGCCCATACTAAGACGGAACAGTTCTCTAGTGGTCTTCGGTCTTAAATGGTTGTCTAAGATCAGATTGTGAAGTAAACTTTTAAAAATAGTTTATCATGAAAACAAAATACACATAAATAGCATAAAATGAATCGCTTACCTCACATCGATAGGATAATTCTAAATAGGGCATAGAAGAACTAACCGTTAGAATATCACGATATTGTTCATCAGAAAGACTTCGTAGAAGGGCACGACGTTTATCATCTGGTAAATTGATCAGCTGTCGAACAGATTTAATATTACGCTGTGAAGGGAAATATATATTCAATATGTTGACTAAATAAATATGGTTGGAAATAGGAATTTTTTACATTACGTTAAATATTAGTTTGTGATGAAAATTACCATTTAAGTTAAGCGAAATCTCCACTAAGTAATTGTATTAAGTAGTTATCATTTGATCATTAGTCTTCAGCTCCTTAAGATGAATTTCCAAGTGTCCCAGTTAAAACTGATCAAGTATCTAATCAGGATAGAAGTCACTCATTAGTCATATACACTACTTGACAGTCACATTTTTGATTAATCGACTTATATTGAAAATACAAACCATTTGATTTTTTGAGAAATTTTGAAGTTGGGTGCAGGATAATATACAAAGATAGTAAATTGATTGTTGAGGTAGAGAGTATTCATCGACTGAGGTGGTTAGAACATTCATGGGAGACAACCGACAACCTTCATTTGAGATGCTTGCAAATGGGAGACAGCTAAACCAAAACGTAACATAAACCCATGAAGCAATTGACTGTTCAACTGAATCATGTTAACAGGTTGAGATTACTTGGATAGGGTTCTCGTGCTTATCATAGGGAATGTTGGTAGACATGGTTTAGAGTCGGTCGTAATAAGGTAGCTGGATTTATTCTATGTTTTTGATAAGATCTCGAGTTAAAAATCATCTTGTACCTTTTTTTGCTTTGCAAATATTTTCCACATTAAATCATATTGTTTATGAATAATGTTTCCTACTACTACTGATATTATTATTTTTTCTACTACTTTGGCATTAAGACTTGACAATATTATTTCGTTATGGCAATACGGTGCAGAACATTAAACGGATGCATGTATCTCCTACATCTTCTATGTTCCTGATAACTAACCGACTTCAATTTCATGGCTCAACAATAACGTGGTCGATAGCGACGGATGAAGCTAGATAAGCCATGTCAAATCACAGTTGTATACAGCTAATTAATCCTGAACTAAGACGAGACATTTTTTAAAAAAACCTTCAAAGAACATTCTACGTATTTAAAATACTATTATTTGTAATGATAAAATTTAAGGAATTTAAACGTATACGTGGTCGTTAGTATGGGGTTTGTGGAGATTGTTGAGTTCCATTGAAATCATGGACCGATAATTGCTACACCACCATTGAAAACTTGTAGGCACTAGGCTGACATTTCGTTCTAGTATGAGACTCCTCAGCAGTGTGATTCCACGATATCGCAACCGGGAATCGGGCCCAGGACCTTCGTTCTCGCACATTAACATCTAAACTCTAGACAACTGAACCGGCACCCATACTAGGAAGAAACAGTCATTCCGTGATTCCCATTTTCCTATGTCAAGCTAACATTGATCGGTCTATGATTTCAATGAAGTATTAGTGGTCATTTGATGTGGTAGAAAAGATTATTATCGTTTACAGTGAACTTACTTGTTTAGTTGCCATATGTCTAAGTTGAGTTTGAGTGATATGTGGAAGTTGAAGTAACGGTGAAGCATTGTCCGTAAGCGCTTGAACAAGCATCGGAATTAAATGCATACAATTTTCTATGGTAGCTAAGTGTTGAGGTGTTTTATGTCTTGAATTAGCTAGAACAGTATAATACAAAAACTATAGGTGCATTATATATATATATATATATATATATATATATATATATATATATATATATAACTGTTTGATCACTGAGGAGTGATTAATGTCATATTTGTCTGGTGTTATCTAATGCTGACCGACTTCTTTCGAACAAACTGGAATGGACTAGGCAAACACGACATTTGTCGCTACTCCCCAGGGCTAGGTAGGAAGAAGGACCGATAAAGATTCTAGACTGCTCGTACGGGTTTACGCGTCATTGGTCCGGTCGATAAATCACTGTGTTTCTAATTGGCGGTATCATTACGTTGTATATTAATAGGGCACAAGGCCACGATATATAACAAAAATATTAGCTGTAAGTTGTAAAATTATTTCTAATGAATCAACAATTTAGTTTATATCATTATTAGTGAGGATAAAGAAATAACCAGTTGTTAATATTCTCAAGTGTATTTTTAATCCGCGTTTCTTGGTAGACATACACTGAGGACAGATTGCCACGATATCGTCATATTGTCAGAAGTTTGCGTAGAATAAATAACTTTTGGATAACAATGGAATTCAGGATGCGCCTTTCGTCCTATTTTGAACTTGTTCAGATAAATGCACCTACATAACAGTTTGACGTTCATATTGAAAATCCAGTGTAACACTTTACAATTTGAACCCTAACTATCTGTGTACAATCGAATAATCATGACTTATTTGATAAGTGATACACAGCAAGAATATCAATAATGCTAGTTTAAACGAACAATACAACTCAATAATCGATGTGCTAAAAAAGGTTTTCAGATATATTTTTACACGAAATTTTCATTAGTTTTTTCAGGTCATTATCATCAGCAAGGAGTCGAGATCATAGTTTGGAAGGAATATACATGTAATCTATGTAAAATTAGTCATTATATGTGAAAAATTATATTTGAAACAGTCTCAGAGATTGAAATTTGAATAATTCCAACGTTTTCGTCCAGCTAAATTGTCTGGACTTCTTCAGGGAAATAATCAAAATCATCAAAGAAATATATAGTGTTTTTTAACAATCATATCAAAATCTCTACTACTTTAATCCAATTATATTTGGATGTTGAATTTTTTGTAAACAGGATAATATGATCAGAAGGGGATTTGTGGAGATTTCAGTATATTTCAAAGTTGAAATCATGAGTCAATTGAAGCTAGACCACCATCGAAAACCTGGAAGCACTGGACGGCCGTTTCGTCCTATACTGAAATCTCCACAAATCCTCTTCTGATTATAATCATATGCTCACTAGTGACTGACTTCAAGATACATGTCCTGGAGTTCTAGTGGGAAGCAGTGACCAGTGGAGTTCAACCACATATGTTGTGAGATAACAACTCACTGAAGGCAATTGGTGAAGTGTCGCTCATAATTCGTGGATCAGTTGAAGTTAGACATTAACACCGCCGGCTCAGTGGTCTATCGGTTAAGTGCTCTGGCTCGTAACTGGTAGGTCCTGGGTTCGAATCTCGCGAATGCGGGATCGTGGGTGCACATTGCTGAGGAGTCCCATAATAGGACGAAACGGCCGTCCAGTGCTTCCAGGTTTTCGATGGTGGTCTAGCTTCAATTGACTCATGATTTCAACTTTGAAGGATAATATGAGTTAGTTGAATGAGAATCAAGTGAAAAGTTCAAACGATGTGAATTAAAGGAGTCTGGATGAATTGTGTGTGTGCGTGTATGTATGTGTAAAATGAGTTATTAATGAATGATATTCAGTGTTGATATGTTTCTATGTGAAGTAAAAATAAGAATAAAAGTGCAAATTGAAGGTTGAAAAGCTGTTTCTGATACATTGAATTGCAATTAAACATCAAGTACATAATTGTAATACTAAACATAACTCATATTGATTTAAATCATAATAACGATTCATGTGAATTAAATAAACAGGTTGAATAAAAGAAGGGTCAAATTACTTGATGATGAAAATTTGCCAAATGGCTGCTAGCTGAATACCATCCTTTCTGTTTAGGCTGTTCTTATTCGCCCATATATACAGCGCTACTACTGTCAATCTTTCTTTGAGTGTTGAAACCTTTCTGAAGTATTTTGGCCCCTTCAAAATTAATCATGTGTCCCGTTTCTAACGTATGTAACGCTATTGCAGACTTATTCTCAAATTTCCTTATGTCAACCGAAGTTTTGGGAACATTTTTTAAACACTGTTTGTGTTCCTTCAACCTTACCTTCAATTGTCTGTATGTTTCTCCAATATGTAAAATTAGATTCAACCGACCACCGGCCCCCTGAAAAGCTATACGGTCATATATTCTGATTTGTCTGAAAACAGCAACTTCTAACTACGTAACAAAGTCTATCGATTATCATTTGGCTGATTTTGAAATCCTGTTTCTTACCGTAATACCATGTTAAATTCCTTTTTAACAAGGACAGTATGCTAGAAAGCAATAATATTATTAATACTAACAATATATTTAATGAGTAATGATTTGTATTATTTTGATGTTAGTATTTTTGACTGAAATTTGATCAGTCTTGGCTGGTATATATGCAACCTGTGTGGATTGCCTCAATACTGCCATCATAACACAGGTTTAGATAGATAGAATGTGGCAAGTAATAGGATCCAGAACTCGCGTCTCATCCTATTTGGGACTGGTCAGCTAGAGGTACCTGCATACCAAAATTGTTCACTTCAGGATATGAAACTAGTACTTTTCACTTCAAAAACTAACACCTTAGCTAATGAATCAAAATAGTCACTTGTTTGCATACCGGGTATGAGTTTTAATTTCATCTGTCATGATTCGGATTATCCCGTATGTTTTGATAACTGAATATCAACTATGGGATGTAGGTACAGTCAGATGACTAGCTCCAAATGGGACAAAACGCGTATCATGGACTCCACTTCTAACCACATTTAAAATATTCTACCTAAATAATAGTAATAATAGTAGCAGTGATGGCGGTTTGTATTTGCCCAAATCAACATCAAGGTAACAAATAAACTTTTTGAAAAATATACAATTACGTCGCTCAACAAACCTTCGTCCATTGCTACAGCTAGAACGTATAACAAACTGTTGATCATTTCGTCAATTAACCGAGGCGAATGTTTAATAATATACTGTCTGTCTGCAAATATGAAAACGAAAACACAAGTGGAAAAAAGATAAACTAACCAGAAAACACCTCCCAGAATAGAATGTTTAATAAATTACTGTGAATTAGTTAACAATCAATGAAAAGAAACACAGATTGTATAACTACAATTCGTGGTTAAACAGACACTTTGGGTGATATGATTCGCAATCGATCACAAGAGCGTAGATGCACCATCTCTTTATATTATTGAACGTATTGAGATTCAGCATAATATCATACTAACCTTTTCATTCCATTCTCCTGAAATATATTTTCAACGCTTAGTTTTTCTTATTATCAAAGCTACTACATTATTTTAACTCCTTTACTCATCATTTTGATTTCATCGTGTGTGTGGTAATTTGGTATGACAACTTGGGCTAATGAATATTGATGCCACGTTCCAAGTTGATTATGACTGGATGACTGAAATACAAGTTGTTAAATTCTATTCCAAAGACTTCTGTTACATGGGCGATACTGACAAAAAAACTTGAAAAAGAAACCTCAAAGTGCGTTAAAGAATTTCATGACTTCATTACAATAAGTACTGTTTAACGATTTATGATCGTCTTTTATAATTTGCCTACATTTTAGTGTGCTTTCCCAAGGAATTTCGTAAATAATAGGAGATATGTGAATATTGTTTGTAGTATATATCACTGAAATTTGTTAAACAGCTATTGAAAACCAGGAAGAACTGGAAAATGTTTCATCCCATTATGGGACATCTCAGCAGTATACATTAACGATCCGTCGAGCATCAAACCCAGGAACTTGAGAACTCTGGGTGGGCGCATGACTTTTAGACCACTAAGTGATATATTTAGTGTGTTCATTTTATAAGGCTATTTAATTCCTCAATAAAGGTTTACACTTCTGTTTTTGAGAATAGTTAGAGCAGATTGGTGAAGCAGTCCTTCTTTATCTAACGATAAGAATTACTTACAGTCAATTACCGATTCATACTAGCGACAACTAGGTTGTCAAAGTAACAACTTTCAAGAGGACAAAATATACAGGAATGGATTTTAGCTACCGAGTAGTTTAAACTTAATGTACAACAAGAAACAGGGGTGAATAGTTACTGACTATTGATTTGAACAAACTAGAAACACACTCAGTTGTCGTCCACAAGATATAAGAACGATAGTTGAAAAGTCTCTATGATAAAACTAAAAACTTTACATTTCCATCGATAAATTTAAGCTTAGTTTTCTTCAACATTTTTACAAAGAGTCGTCAAACTGTTTACGAAATAATCCATTCTGGAGTTCTACGCTATTAATTGAAGTTTTGTCCGTCAGAACAAGAGCGCGCGTATGTGATCCAAGTACGTACATAGTTCACATAGATATAGATGTATGCAAGGTGGTTGAAAACAGTCGGTTGACAGGAAACTTTGGACCTAAGTTCCTTGCTGGTTGGAGCTTGTAAATGATATGTATCCTTTATTGCAGGTCATTCCGGAGCCAAATCACTGAGCAATAATATCATAGACTGAGAGACTGTGTGGCACTAGTTCTCATTCATTACCTTGAGACTGAAGCTATGCCTTTCTGACGAACTCGAACCAACACGAAACCTAGATTCAAAGTTTCCTGTTGACTACCTCTAATCACATTACATCTTGACATGATGTGTGCGATGTCCTGTCACTTAGATTAGTGGTTATATTGCAACTTATTCGACAGGATTCGACCAGCACTAAACGATTAAACACAAACATAATATAAATCACTATTCAATGACTAATCAATTATACATTAAATGTATGCATCAATACAATACAACTTAACAAATTTATTGGAGATTACTTCATTAGTTTAAAGGAGAGTTATGGATGATTGTCTTTGATTTCTCACTATTTAATTGTCATACATAAATACACATATGTTTCTCCGTTTCATGAAAAAAACAACCTGTAAGGATATTTCAAAGATAAGTTGTTATACAATATGCATATTTTAGTCAAACTACATGCACTGTCCGTGTAAATACATTGAGTCGTTTAGTCAAATCATACGATTTTATATCCAATACCCAATTGGTTAAAGTAGAGCCTTAACAGTTGAATTCACGAGTATATTTAAGCTAGACCACTATTGAAAACATGGTAGCAGTAGACGGCCGTTTCTTCCACGAATGAGACTCTTCAGCAGTGCGCATCCGCGATCCAGTGCTTGCAAGTTTTCAATGATTGTCTAGCTTAGATCGACTGGTGAATTCAACTGTTAAAATACTACAATCTCTACAAATCCCCGTACTGATAAAAAGTGGAATCGATGAAAAACCAATAAAGAGATGGTATGAACACTTACCAACATGTAAAGTGTTAGCTGGAAGCTCTAGACGTTCCAAATGTGCATAAATCAATGCTCTAGCTTTCACTGAATATGGTGATCCAACGATGGCTTTTTTAAAAATTGTGAAGAACGGTATTTGCATAATTAACTAAAAATTATATGAAAATAGAAAAAAATAATAAATTAATAAATTTTCAAAGAGTAATTGGATATACCTGTAATTAAATGATAACATCTAAATAATAAATAACAACACCTTAGTTATTCAATGTTGACTGTACTGTGTAGATCTCTGACTACGAAGCTAAGCAAAATTATGCTAGACTGATAACATTATTCGATGCCGTATGTTTGAAGATGACTATCGGATTTTAGACAATACTCCGCTATGTTTTTAAATCAGATAGATTGTGAGTAGCAGTGAAATTCAGTACGCGTGTTTCGTCTTATCTGGGAGTTATCAGGTGGATGTACCTGTATCCAGAGTCGAGTTCACATTGGAACCTTAGCAAAGTATATTTCGACAGTCGACTACACCGAGATGACCAGCAAACGTTGGGCGTATGACAAAAAAACGACTGATCGAGAATCCAGACCTTAATACGAACAACGGGATCATTCAAATCATTGCCAATGATGACACATACTAAATTATATATAGGTAAATGAAAAAAACATTAAATAGTGTTTCATGGAGTAAAAATCAGTTCAATTTGAAGATTACTTTACCAGGAGTTGGCATTAACCATTGAACAACAGAAAATTTGCCACAGACTTAACGTATCAAATGGTCCTCATTTTTTACACTTTCAATAAACTAGAATTACAGATGACACAATCACTCAATGTTATCTTTGATGAATATAACTGCTTCACTCTTATGACATTAGGCAATTTCAAAAACCATGGTACCTGTGAAAATTCTTGGATCCACACATAAATTATATTTTAGGTCCACATAGCTGAAGATTCCGAAAATACGGTAAAACAGCTACTCAGTAATTCAGTGACAAACACTAGATGAAAACTACCTTTAAAAAATTGAGTGAATTTAAGTTGACCTGGTTATAGACAATATTGCTGCATCAAATTAATCAGATAATGATAATAATAAACTGCATCATCTAATTGATTAGAGCAATGAGGTCACAGTACAAAATATGTAATACTGTAGCGAAGTACCCGTTTTATAACAATTTAACTTGTATATATTTAAGAACATATAGATATTAAATATTTTAAACGTCAATTAGCTGCCATCGATATGCATGCGTAAATGTTTACAATCAGTTATGTTCTCTTTCAAAACACCCGTTTCTATCACTTAACAATATATTTAACGTATGAATTGCTCAGGGATTACTCCTTGTTCTTCCAAAGAACAGAGGAGGAATGTATATGAAATACTGTAGTGACACATCGTAGCTATAGCTTGTAAACGGCATAGAAAGGCAGACAAGTATATGCGCTTATCACACACAATCAGTTATCGAAAGCGAATCTAAGACAGGAAAATTTCTGCAGATAAATAAACATTTGATGTAAAGATGACCTAAAGGTTTTAGCCAGGTTATTAATATTTACCCAGATAAACAACTGTTCGGGTGAATTATTTTGTATATTACAAACATTTCAAAATGGAGCAGGGACTGATGATGTTCAGAATGACAAAGAAGGCATTGTGTTGAAACTATCTATTAAACAGAGAGCACAACACACCATCGAAACGTAAATATGCTATAGCGATAACTTATACAACTAGCAGTGCATAATGTAAAGACTACTGTAAAACTTTACTTAAATATAAATTAACATAAAATCCCAATAAAAAAGGGAAACAACTAACCGGAGGTAGTTCAGTATTATCACTTGGCCGACAAATTATTTCTTTATTATAATTTGGATTGAATTCATATGCAGTGGATAATACCTTAATAATACGTGGCATTGCCATATAAGGTGAACGCATAAATGCACCACAAAAATATCTTATTGTATCCAACAGTACATTATTATTACTAAATTTCATCGTATTATACCACCAAACACCCTGTGAAATATAAGAAAAAAAATAAATATACGAACCATTGAAGAACAGGTATCACCAATAAAAAGGTTAAATATAAATTACTGAACTGTAAAAAAGATTTGTTGTTGAAACTGATCCATATTGGTTATTGCAAACTGCTTATCTGGTTAGGGTTTGCGTAGTAGTAGTGTTTGGAGGAATATGAGTGACCAAGACTTAGATTTAATCATAATAACACAGATATATTCATAATTTTCTTTTTTCAAATGTTGGGTTTCAAAACTATTTTAAACTTTTTGTTTCACAAACTCAGGCAATCCCTAACTTGGAATCCGGAAGGAAAACGGAAAAGAGGAAGGTCAAAGAACACATTACGCCTGGAAATAGAAGCAGATATGAATAACAACTGGAAACGATTGCCCAGGATAGGGTTGGATGGAGAATGCTGGTGGGCGGCCTATGCTCCTCCACGAGGGGTAACAGGCGTAATAAGTAAGTATTTCACGAACTTACTCCTTTTTCTTGAATCATATCGTCAATGCCTAATTTTTTCGCATAACCACCACTAATACTGTTATAACTTCTACCAACCTACCATTTCATTATATTGATATCGTGGTGTATCAACTTGAAAGGATGGACATATGTTTCAAGTTCTACATTGTGTATATCTGACTAATGTTAAGTAATCAAAAAGAAGCTAAAAAAAACACAAATAAAATGGATAGTTTATATAATAAAAGACTTCACTAATAGGTTTGAGTATACTGCAACAATTATAAACTATATGCATATAAGCAGAGATGGATAGTGGCTAGCAGTGGAATCCAGGACGCGCGTTTCGTCCTATTTGCGACTCGTCAGCTGGATGTACCTGCATCTCAGAGTTGATGTTCACTCTGGGACTCGAACCCATGCTTGTTAATTAAGGCTATATCGAGGCAATACGCACAGTATGCACATATGCCAATTACAGACTGACCAGTTGCAGTCCTAACACATCGATGGGAAGATTCAAACAAGCAATACTAAATGAATTTATATGCATATATCCAATGAGATCATTATTTTCAATTCATTTGTCAAGTACAAATTAGTGTACATGACCCTCAGCTCCATCTCAAGTGTACGAGAGCTAGTGATACTCTATCCGGTTGTTCAAAGTGAAGTAGATGAAGTGGACGCACAACTCAGTAATTGAAAGTCAAACGCTTTAAATATTGAACCGACGCTTCGATCAGAGAGGTAGTGGTTAAAATGACATGCAAAACTATGAAATAAAATCCGTAACCAGTTCATTATTGTATTTCCATAAGATAGTCTCTCACATACTCAAGAAATGAGTAGTCAAATTCAATTTAATTACAGAGGATCAACTTATTAAGAACAGTATTAGTGTTGACTAGTTGTTATTACTAAACATTAGTAAACTGCCGACTAAGAACGGAAAAAGAACAATCATATAGTGATATCGTTCGGTCAAAAGGAATGTAAAGCCAAACACATATGTGCATTGGTTTAAGTTGCCACATCATATCACACCAATAAAATGGAATCACCAGGACAAATGCACAAGGAGTAGAGGTATTAACAGTATCAATGATAGTAAAAAATATTAGACATGATTCGAGAAAACTGTAGTCAAAGTTATTTTTAAAACTGAAGATCTAATAGAAACAAAAGTGTGGGTGTATCCTCACCATTGTGACTGATTCTGGGCTACGACACTCAGAATCTCTACCTATTGGTTACGATAGTAGCAACGACTCCAACCATATATATTCCATCTTTCAATATGATTTAGTCCAATAGTCAGTAACTTGGTAAGGTCAATAATAGCTCACTCCCAATCTAGACCAATGAATACCGAGCGTTGAGATAGGCTATGTTTTAGTAAACTTATATATATAGCAAACATATATCAACCATTTCACTTGATGAAGGTTCATCACCTCATCAATCAAGTTCCCATGTTTACCCGGTACTCTATGCCTAACCGCAGCATCGCTCACATGGTTGTCCCAACATATCAATTGGCATAATAGTACTGCAAACTTACTCTGCCTTTCGACTAGAGAATTTACTATTACTGAGCCTAGAAACTTATTCGTTAATTGCAAAATTTATTTATATCACGGTCAGGATGTAATATACAGTGCAGAGTGCATGCTAACACCAGGACGAATTGAAGATTTCTAATTAAACGAAATAAGTATATTACCAGTTGGAATAACCGATATGATAACCCATATACTTGGTGTAATATGATATGATTTTACTGTCTAAAAGTAAGATAACAAACAGTGTGATATTTAAATGTGAACCATTTTAGAAAATAACACTAGATAATTCATATAAAACGAACGCAATGAACATATAGTATTTTCATCGAAAGTACTGCATTCTCATTACTGAGAATTTTGACATCCATTAGTACGTTACCGAAGAACTTAGATACAAACAGTAGGATTTTTTTAACACTTATAATAATTTAAATGATTTACACCAGTTCCAGCTATTGACTATAGAAATTAGGAATTTATACAGAGAATTTGTAATTAATGAGAAGAAACTATTAGGTTTTGATCTTTTAGGGTCGATTTGAGTCACTAACTAGTCGATACCTTAGTGAAGAACTAAGTTTACCGCCTCGTAAAATTCATATTTTGACGTGAAAATCAAGCAACAAGTCAAGCAAAACAATTCTAGTGGCTGATATTATATAAAACTCATGTAAGTTATTCTAACTTCTGGATAAGTTAACTGATTCATTCTTCTCAAGCCACATTTTGACCTTGTCACTTATCCGCTCATTAACCCTAACTGTTTTCATATGATCGTATGTATGTGTTAATTGCTTATTCTTATTCGTTACATGTCTGTAATTTATTTTTGTCTGAATATGAATATATTGAGTAATGTTTGAGTTGGCTTACTCTCATTCTCCACTGAGCGTCATTTCGTTTTGTTTCGCTCTCTCCTATTTGCTTTGTTTTCTTGGTCATCTATCTAGATCGACGATTGTGTGAAATATACGTATTCAAAATCTATTCTCGTATTTGGCTTATTTAGCTTCATTATTTACTAACGCGGATTAAGTCGATAATAATATATGAGCATAGCCAGGATGTGTATTTCGATGGCAATCATTCACACGATCCAATTGGAATCAGATAAAGGGCCACTAAATCTTTAATTGACTATGTATGTCAAAGTCCAACGTTACAAAACATAACTAAACAATTGGCCAATTAATTTTGTTACCAAAGAAAAAAGAAACAAAAGGCAACAATAATAAACATACCACAGAAATTGGCAATATCATCATGAACAGTAATATATATGCTCCGATAACCTGTGTGTATAGAGAACAGAAATAAAATTAAACACACACACAAACACATAACTAATTACCGATTAAAAGTTAACAAATTAAAAATAAAACTTTACCATACAGTCAAATTGGATATGTAAGTAATATATACAGTTGTAAGAAAATAATAGTTTTTTTTTAAAAAAAAACAAAAATTACATGATGAAATGTGGTGTATACCCTGAGAAATTCCAAACGAAAGAATAAATATACAAAATGTAGAAAAGCGTTCCCTCCAACCAGTTGGAAAGTTTCTGCTTACCAGATGACGGGGATACTAAAACCCTTAGAAACCACTTGGTGAAGGTCTTATTTTTGTAATTTCATTTTACAAATTTTAATTTCTCGTTTCCGAGCCAAAGACACCCATTTTTGCCTTTGGATTGTATCTCTCACTTGAAAGGACCCTAAATGTCATTGGTTTATTCCCACTTTTAATACGCTACTTGGTGACGTTTTCCAATGACACTTTTATGTTGTATACATATTCTTGAGTTGTGTGCTTGTTGCTGTTCGTGTTTCTGGATGCTATGGAATATACCTTTGCTTCATCTAAACCGGGTCTTTTTCCTCTAGTTAGCAGGGTTGGGACGCATAGGAATAATTTAGCGTGTCTTTTCGTTATCTCGCTGATCCTATATATATATATATATATATATATATTATTCCAAGAATAAGATGAAATAGTTGGAATGTCTGCAAACAATTAGAAAATCTTTTGAAGTATTAGACCATAAATTGCCTGATCAATAATAATTTTTTTCCTTAAAAAAGAGGAAAATAAAGGATAGAGAGAGGATATGAATGAGGTTAGTACTTAATGTATTGTATGCCAACTTCTCTCTAAACATGATTCATCCTAGTGTAACTTAGATTATCATTTAACTAATTCAATAAAATTGCAAATAATTGGTTTGAATTAACAACAAGCCAGGGGACTCTATAAAGACCTCTCTATGTAGACTTTGAGTGTCAGACATGTAAAGTAAATTGATATCGTAGTAAATCAAGAATCAATGAATTCAATCTTTTTAAATAAAATACACATATGCTTAGAGGCATCATGTGAACTTTCGACCAAGAGTACGCCTATTAGTCTGTTTTGAGCGAATCAGTGCTAATGAACGAATCTAAATGCTAAGAGATTTATAAGGAAAGGTAGATAGTGGCTAGCAGTGGAACCCAGGACGCGCGTATCGTCCTATTTGGGACTCTTCAGCTAGCCACCATCCATTTTTGCTTATAATGCTTGTAACTTAAAACAATATCCAAGCAATCCGCATAGGATACAAATATGCCTATAAGAGACTGATCAATTACAGTCCTAAACATCAATGGGGATATTCAAACAAACAATACAAAATGCTAAGAGATTTGTTTCAACTCTTTAAGTTTTGGTAGTTTAAAAATCCCCATAGATAATTCAAAAATGAACAATATTTGAGCGAACAATTGTTTTCAATAACTTCATCATCAGGCTCTACAGTTATAAGTCCAGAATTATAATATTTTGCAAAGTCCAAAATGAGGCATGTATTAATTAATTTGACAATGTTATTTAAGTTTTTATTGGAATCTTTATTATTCATTTCGAATTCTTGTTTTGATCTGGGAAGAGCTGACAGAAATGTGGTACTATACAAGGGATGCCAGACAATATTAATATAAGCTAGGAAAATAATCATCAGTCATAGACAACAATAAGACACCTAGAAAGATAAGCACTAATCAAACTTGCTACACAAACTATTGATACAACGAAAGAGAAAAGTATCAGCATAAAAGAAAAACAGAACAGAATCAGTATATCAGATAAACTGGATAACTAGACCTAAGAAATAAATACTTTAAGACAAACAAATGGATTCAAAGTAGGGTATAAATGCTCAGAATAAAATAAATCGACTGTTAGTAAACATAACTAACCAAGCTACACCAACATGTCACTAGGAATACATTAAGTGTACTATAGATAAAATGTGTGGTAATACGATTGTGTTTAAAATCTAGTTAGAATTTGCGCCCAATATATTCTATGAAACTAATAATAATGTAGAGCTTATATCTACCAATACATCATTCCTTCTTAACAACTTATTAACGAAGGGAAATAAGTTTACGAACATTTTGTATTGAATGAGCTTAAAGCAAAAACAAGACAAAAGTATAATTTACGCACGAATATAAAGCAGTTAACATACCAAATAGAAATTTTCTTTTTGAACCATCCATTTGGGTAATGCAATGCCAAAATGAGCAGCTTTTACAAGAAAAATATATAGAAGTTTAAGTATATCGTTTTCTTTTGTTGAAAGGCATATAGTCTATTTTAAGCTAGAGATGGGAAATGTTGTAATAGTTGTTTTTTGCAAGTTAGAATATGCAAAATAAGTAAGCCTAATCAGACAATAGACAAGTTGTTAGCTTATATTTTAGTGATCATCATAACCATTAGTTAGAGAATTTGGGTGAGATGGCTCAAAATTGTTATCAATGGCGCATGTGCACTTACTCTTTGTTTTCCCTTAGATTCCAAGTTTTTGAATACCTGATGAATTTTTCTCAATAATTTACATTTTCTTGGAACTGCTCTTTTATGTTTGATCTTTTCTATCAATACTTCTACTATTCTAGGATTCCTCCTGACAATTTCATTTGGCTAAGTGTTAATGAGGTATGGCAACCTGAAACGATGCACACATGTGCCAGGTTCTACATTGTTCGACTGGCTTCTAGTTTGCACTTTGACATGATTAGATGGATGTTGGTCAATTACAGTTAGAATAGCGATATTAATTATTGTGTGGATCTAAAGACACATCTGACTTTTACTCAGAATTTATTATTTATTTATTTATTTAAACACATAAATATTGGTACAAGGAAGCACCAGATAAATATGCGCCTCACAAATCTCATTCGATTTGTGTGAGGGCTGTGATACTGCTCAGGTGCCCAGACTGAAGCAGGTGGTTTTCTTAGGGGGCCACACCCGGAGCCTTTGACCTGAATGTCTGATCCACAAGGCAGTGGAGCATCGTGAGGAGATGCAGTCCCCTATTAGCCGGTGACCAACAATAGGTTCATTCGCCATTCGTTCCATCAGGATACTGGAGCCCATGTGCACCATTGGTTTGGAATCAGGGTTTTCCAACTCCCCTAGGTGAACTTTCCATGTCCACCAACCCGGTTAAAGCGCCGGACATTCGCTTTTCGTCCTCTCACTTTCGTAAACAACACCCACGCCACGAGAAGGCAGTGAGTAGGACTTCCCTGGCAGAGGCTATATATTCGCTGGCCATGTGAGAGCATTTCGAGAGGGAGAGGTGACTCTCCCCACTCTCGGCCGTACCAGGGCATTTGGGGGCTTATATATATTGGATTAAAGAATGTTTCGTGCACGATTGAGTTGGTGCACGCTGATCGGCTAATTCTTATCTAATCAGCGCTAGTCGATGCTTAGAGGACACTTTAGAGTCTTCCCATGTAAAAACTATAAATACACCAACGTTTTTCCTTAATGTGCTTCTTACTTCCATCTACCCTTGTAATTTGGAATATAATTTCTTCCTGTTCAACTGCGTTCCCATTTGGGGACGTGCCGAGTGAATTGGTGTCCAAGATTACTAAGCAATATGAATAGCTGGGTCGTAATAAGAGCATTTATGACAAATACAGTTTTATAAAACGCTAAATGTATTCTCTGAATAAACATCGTGTTATAGTGATATATCTTTTAATATACATACTGGTGGGTAAATGGAAACAGACAGACAGGAGTATTAGACATTGTGTGTTAAATAACAGATATTGAGCTCTTTTTTATAAGACGATCATCGTGAAGATATTTACGAAAGAGAAGGGATTATATACGAACTTGAATATATCAATATTTGAATAGCTTCACAAACAACAAACACATGCGGAGGATGCTGTCAATACTGAATTCAATCAAGACATACAGTAAATCTATCAAAATTTTGAAATTACTGAACAGCTTATTTGTGAAAACCTTTTGACGTTCAACTGGTAAATTACGGGTTAAAATCCTGGCCTAACGCATATTTTTACGACGACAGGATGAAATTACACATACAAATCGAAATAATGAAGCAGCAATGATGAGAAAGAATAAAAATCAAGAATACTTCGACAAAAACAGAGTAAGGATATATATGTAGGGACGGGATCGAAGATGCAAAGTAATATAAGAAAATGGATCTGCGCTATTGTGATCAACTCTGAGATGTGTCAACAAGCATTTCCAATCTTTGACAGCGATTTTCGCGCGGATCTCAGCTAGCTGGTTTGCATTTACTAACAAAACTTAGATTAACAGTCAGTGATTTTACAAACCAATGACAAGTTCTCGTTTTGCAGCCCATGGTTTTCCTCCAACTAACAAAACCTAACATCGGCATCGAGGTAGGCATTGGTTAGTCACTCATAACACATATACGCAACATATAAACTGGTATATCGGATAAAATTTAATTAAACTCACCACCAGGACCATCGGGATTACCATATTCTTCCCAATTTTTTCTTGATTCTTCGTTAGTTAGGCTTCACAAGTAGGACAAAGTTATAAGTACAATTTTGATTAATGAAAAAAATAAGTAACTATATTTTTTGTATGAAACAAAACAAAGCACAGTCATTTCGCATAGGTCATAAGAATATATCACTCATTTTAGTATGTTTATGTTAATCATTCAATGTAACTTAGTTAACAAATAGATTAATGAGTAAGTTTTAACTGTTATAAGTATAATAATGAATGTTTTTCAATATTCACACAATATAAAGTTGACGCTTTTAGTTTATAAATGATAAGTTATGATAAATCATCATAGGGAAAAATTGAATGTCCATTTAAACTGCATTTACAAAGAAAGACATGTCAAGAAATCAAAATTGTATTGAACATAAAATACATTGAGAATTAGACCGAAAATCTTTCAAACAGAAAAAAAGGAAATAGCATAATCCTGTGTTTGTTGAACTGACATCTTTTTATTTTTGAAAGCGCTATACAAACTGACTTACGAAGTTATAAATGTTGATTATTTGTCATACCTACATGATGAATAACATACTTTTATACATGTAAAAGTGCTCACTAAACAACGATGTACACTATAAGATATAATACTGACCAGCATAATTACATACCAATCGGTAGAGAAACAGACAAACATCGTCAACATAGAGCCTGAGGAAGATGTTTGTTATCCTAAGTTGCCATGCCACGTTAGCACGACAAGATGGAAATAACAAAAGTGCACAAAATAATGTTGTAACAATGGGAATATGGTTCGAAAAGGTGAAAAGGTAACTGCAATAAATGCATCTACGTCACTGAGAACGATCCCAGGTTGTTATTCAGTCTTTAACTCCTAATCGCGGTAATTATATGAACCCCAACCAGGTAGTCTGGATTTACCAACATGGGTCAGATCAACAGGTAATTGCTTCATTGACAGCTGCCACATTTTGATTCGACTGCCCACAGAGTTCTTCCAACGTACTTCGAAACTATTGTGTTGCTCGCATGAAGTAAGCGGTGATTAGGCATACGTAAAATATGCCCCAACCACGTCAATCGATGATTTAAGACCTTAACTGGTTTGTCACCTTTCCCCAGTACTTTATGTTTAATCTCGACGTCAATTACTCGGTTGTTTCACGAGGCGGGAGCAATGCCTCGATGAAATCTATGATCAATAGTCAGTTCACGCACATCTACTATCAAAGACCATGTTTCACAGCGACAAACCCGGTAAGGAAAGCATCCAGCAGATTTTCACTATAATTACTAACGGTTTAGTCATCGCATACATAGGTTAGTGTCAGAACAACTCTGTAATTCGTAAAATTAAGATATGTTTTTAGACAAAAGGATTATTTTGAATGGTAGTTTGTCAATCATAAAAAAGTAACACCTTATATGAAGTAGAATTACGGGTCATACGTTTAAAAATGAAACAATTATTTATACAGTTGTTCCATGAAAGGATCAGGAGATAACTTGCCAACCTTCGTTGTGGAATGCGTAAACACTTCGAGTGACACTTGAATGTAATCAGGAAGGTATATATAAGCCAAACACTGTGGCTCGTTCGGACTGTTTAATAAGGATGGGGTTTCACATTCGAAATGAAATAAACCCTAATATAGAATCACTAGTTATTTTTTTAGATAAGAAACCTTCAATATGACCAATGAAAGTGTAGTGGATCGTCAGTCGTACAACTTATCACGAGAGATGAAAGATGAATGGTGGGAGTAAAATCCATTACATATGACCCAAAGACAATCTGAAACGACAGAACCTTATAAACAACTTATGGTAACACATCCCAATGACGAATAAACCACACGCTTTAAGTGGACCATTTATTGGAATTGTCTTGATGAAACATATGAAAAAAGAAGCATGATTAGTAAGTATTGATAGAATTTACAGGACAAGTGTCTAACTTTTAGCACACAACAATTACAACCATGTAAATCACGATGCTACTGTAACGGATCAGCTACACACCATCTACAAATTACTTCCTCGTTTAAAAAAACTAGCTTTGAGACAACATGATGTTACTCCATAGTTCAAAATAACGTGACTGATAGGGGCAGAATTTAACAGTGGTACTTTGTGGATGATGACAATACGTATAGAAACAGGAGCTATTGCTTGAATGAGCGATCTAATGCATAATAAATCCGTTTTCTTCCAAATGGATCATAACACAAAGCTAGTAAGTTCAAAGGTCAACAACGAATCAGACCTAAATGAAGCAAGGGTTTTTTTATCGAGTGTATAACGCCTGGAACCCACTACCAGGAGAAATAATATATGGGCTTTTCCTATGTATCATTTTTGCGAAGGCTGGAGACCTGTCTTTGAACATTAACCGATATCGTATTGCATAAGAGGTCTAATACACATGCAGAATATTGCAGAAACGCTGAAAAACTCTAACAGTAATAAGCCTTATTAAGATTTTTTCCTAAGAGCAATGACCATTGATTTCTGTAGGAGAAGCAGAATTTTCTGTTATTACATATATTAAAATCAGTTAGCAACCTATGATCTAGAAAATCAAACTTACGCATTGTATGCTTTAGAGATCTGTATAAACCGTTTGGGATCACCACCCTTATCAGGGTGGTTTAGTAAAGACAGTTTTTTATACGCACTTCGGATATCTTTTGGAGATGCATCCTGTAGAATAATTCGATATTTAACGCACGATTACCTTGTCTATTCCCAAAACCAAAAACGGATCAAATCCAGAGTTATCAGGCTCAATTAAAGTGAGTTTGTACACAAGTAAGAAAAATATTCCCCAACCAGCAACGAATGCAGCCTTTCTACAAAATAAACTGTTTGAATTCTATAATAACCTACATCATTATTTTTTTGAGCCTTTTGAGTGGTGTAGAAGATTTTATATGATGCCTTTTGAGTTGGCAAGGTTGACACATGCATTTCCTTTTAGATTGCTCATATGATTCTGGACATTTTCAGAATGTTTAAGAACATATTACCTTTGAATTCAAGAGATGGCCAACAAAAATAAGTCAATGGGATTAAAATTAAAGTGTAGAATGCAGTCAAGAAGCAAAGGAATGTATCTCCACTCTCATCAAACTCGAAGCGGTCACCTGGCATTTTTCGGCAAGGACAATTACCAAACTACCCGCGTTAATTTTCCAATATCATAAAGTAACCGGGGTGATAGGGATGGTAGTCTAACCATCCGACTGCATCAATTCTACACAGTTTAGTAGTCGTTTTAGTGTTTGTGTGTCTTATAGTCTGAGTGGGTGCGTTTATCTTATGACAGTAGAATATCTAGATGCCAGCAGCAATCACATTATCGGGTGGAAGGTTGGTTGATTGTAATGTCAAAATAATAAGGATGTGATTTAGATGTCAAGAGAAGACGATTTTTACAGGAACTAAGTAAACAAATCAGTGTGTTCAGTACTTGCTGTGATAGGATTGAGTTGTAAGAAGAAAAAGGGAAACGTGAATTATTATGATGATGACGATAATAGAGATGGGAATAAGTTAATGATATGTGATAATGATTACCGCTTGAAAGGTTAAAAAACGTGCATCAGGCGTATTCTATCTAAGCGGTAGATGGCTATCTACGTCAATTTATCTAGCAGATAGGTAATAAATACTAAGAACATGAGTGAGCCCTAAGGTTAACTCTTGCTAAACTCGTGGTGTTGAAACCTCGCAAGTGGCGTGCACTCTATTTAACTTAATACGAAATATCCACTTCTCTGGGTAGTTTCGGAGCCAGGATAGAAGTATATCAGTAAAGACAATCTTTGCAACCATTGCTATGACTAGTATGTGAGGTACTGTTTAAAAATCCTTTGGGAAATCGAAGACTATTACATGAAGCGATATTTTATTGTCCCAGAAATTAACCCAACTGTCCCATGCTGTAAGGAGGTTGGATGCACATGACCTGCCTTTCCTGAGGGAGTGTTGGACGTCATGATGCATTAGGTCTTTGAGATGATGGAGAAGATCTATAGTTTGGGTGGAGTTTTGTTTTCTGAGTTGGGTGGTTTGGTCATAAGCTCTCATAGTTCTTCTGAATGACATCATCATCACAAACTTCAAGTAAAAGTGAATTGTTCAAATTCCTCCATATACGACTCCCAGCTTGTCCTGTAAACCCCGCTCTTGATTGGATATTGTTGACCCTCAACCTGTCATTGTTTACTTCGTTATTTTGATTGCATCGTCCTTTGATTGGATTCTCAGTCCCGTATTTGCTCATAATTTTTTCTAATTGATTGATATATTGGATCGATTTGAATGTGTGTTGATTGCTGATTGCCTGAGTGCCAAACTTCTAACAATCGCCTTGCGCGTTTAGTATTCACTCTATCCAAGATCTCAACATTTTCTCCGTCCGATGTACGTCCACGGTTGTCCACACTCATTGATATAAACGAGGAAATGTCATGGAGTTTGCCTGTTAACTGATGTTCATGCAAGTGAAGATGAAGAAGGAGTTCACTTTGTCCAATGTAGTGTTTTTCGCAACTGGAACGAAGTTCGGTTTTTCTGCTTTCGTCATTTCGTCCCTTTGATCTACACAGGATTGATCGAAGTGATTTTGTTGTTTTATGTGCTACACCTATTCTAAACAACTTCAATGATCTCGTTATAATTTCTGATGTCTTTTACATATGGTGTGATGATCTGTTTATTGGTTTTTGTACTTGATTTTGTTTCTGCCGATGCATTTGGTCGAAATTTTCTGACGAAGTTGATTGGTAACCGTTATTTAAAAGGAAAGTCTTTAGATATTTTTCTTTATTTTTACACGCTGCAACTGTGTTGTAGTGTGTCCTCGCTCTCTTGAACAGAAATTGTATGCAGTTGATTTTGTGAGTTTTTGGGTTGTTGCTATCGTAAATGAGAATTTGATCTGTGTGAGTCTGCTTCCGATATATTTGAGTCTCCAGTTTTCCAGTGTCGTTTCCAGTAAATAATACATTTAGGAATGGTAGTTTGTTGTTTGTCTCTTTTTTCACTGTGAACTTTATATCATCGGTGACGTTGATGATTAGGCTGTAGATATCCTTTTAGAAGGTGACGAATATGTCGTCTATTTAATGAGTCCAAGTTCTTGACCTGGTCACTAATAAGTTTGAGGTTACCGGTCTCTGCATAACTACTACTGCAAAAATCTCGACATTGGTGATCTCATCGGTGTTCCTTCCTTTTGTTGTTGAATTGAAAATATGTTGTTAAACGCAAATCCATGAATAACAGTAAACTTTGAAGCTTCGTGTACATTGGTAGATTTGTGTTGTTGGTGAGAAGCAGGGATAGAGTTTCCTTTTATTAAGCTTGGTTCAGTTGAGGTGAATAAATCTGCTTCATCGAAGTATATCATCAGTTCGTAGCCGTTGAATTGAATCTCCTTAATCATATCCAGGAATTGTATGGAAATTTCGATAGAATAATTGGATGGATTCACTAAATGTCGGAATATACGTGAAATTTCTCCTGACAAATTGTACGTTGAGGTTTATGGGAGTGCTACAATCGGATGTAGTGGGGTGTTTGGCTTGTTTAATTTTGGCCTAAAGTCGAGAGAGTACTAGTCCAGTGGGTTTCATTCTCTATTAGTTTTACTTTAATATTTTTCCTGCTTTGACATGCTTGGTAAATGTCCCTGAGATTTTTTTCTCTAACCTTTAAATGGACTTGTGTCCACTGGTTCGCATACGCTTTTATCTTCAAGTAGTTCCTCAGATTTCCTGTTACATTCATCCTTCTCCAAAATCACTCGGGTGAGTCTTTTGTACACTGGAACTCTGACAATATCACCTCTGGTTTTGGGCTTCTCCAAAGCTTTTTATTCTTGTGAGGTCAGTTGGCTGTTGTCTTTCTTCTGTCAAGCTAACAGCATCATGATTTGTCCTGTTTCCTGTTGAGTTTCTTCACTTATTCCGGCAGTTTTAAGTGATGACCCTAGTGCGACAAAGAATTCTAGTTTTGGTGAGTGAATAAAAGTCACCAGTCAAATAACTACGGAAGTGACTATGCCATCCGAGATGAAGAATGATTACTGACGCCTAATGACTAAAACCGGAATTCTTCAGAAGCGGCGAGGCCAACGCCCTTTCTAACAGCCAGAGCGACAATTTATAAAAGTACATTAAATGTTCGGACAATATGGGAGACCGGGAAGACCAATCAAATAGCGATGGAGATGATGAGATACCAATTGGCAGTACTCGGAATCAGTGAAACACATTGAGCCCCAGCTGAATACAAAAGGATAGATTCAAGAGAGATGCTACTGTACTCTGGTCACAAAGAGGAAAATGCTCCACATACTCCGGTAGTTGCTCTATTGCTTCCGAAGAAGCACGAAATGCACTTGTAGAATAGGAATCTCATCTATCTAGGATCATCAAAGCACCATTCAAAAAGCAAAAAGGGAATTACGATAAATGTTATCAGATGTTATGCACCCACCAATGATAGCGATGACGACGACAAAGATCAGTTCTGTGAGAGGCTGAAATTAATCGTAGATAAGTGCTGAGGAAAGGACATCACCATCCTGATAGGAGACCTGAACGTCAAAGTCGGGATGGACAACAACGCTTATGAAGATATGACGGGACGATATGGATATTTGGAAAGACAAATCAAAGAAGCATTAACTTCAACGTATCAGAAGGTTTAGGGTCGAAAGAAATGTCACCATTAGGAACGGGTGTCTATTGAAGTCGTCGACAAGATCCAGGAAAGAAAGGATGAGAAGACAACGATGATGAACAGCTGAACAAGAACTTGAGAAGCTAAGGTTCACGTCTAATACACAGAAGAAAACAAAAGAGTAAAGAAGAGTATTAGAATCGGTAATCAGAAGTGCGTGGATATCCTAGAAATGACAGTGAAAAAAGCTGCGAGACAAAGAAACATGAGGCACACATATGATACAACGAATAAATGGGTAAGGAAACGTAGTAAACCAGAGAGACCTGTCAAGGACAAAGAGAGCAAGTCAATCAATGAGACTTAAGAACAGTGGAACACATGGGTAGAATACTTTGTGCAACTCTTTAACAGGCTAGCTCGGTCGAATCCACCGGATATCGAAGCAACAAACACAGACATTACTGTATATGTCGATCCATTAATGATCAAAGAAATCTTCATGGCAATCAGACAAATCAATTGTGAGAAAACAGCAGGGCAAGACAATATACCAGACGAAGCATTGAAGTCAAACATGAAAGTAACTGAAATGTTCCGTGTCCTGTTCAGGAAGATTCGGCAGGAGGAAGAAATAGTGACAAACTGGAAAGGAGATTTTATCAAGATATGGAGGATCTCATTGAATGTGATGACTACAGAGACATCACAATAGTATAAGTACAAGGGGAAGTTTGCAACAGAGCGTTGCTGAACCGAATAAAAGATTCAGTAGATGCCTAATTTCGAGATCAACAGGTCAGATTCCATAAGGATCTGTCATGAACAGAATGAATTACGACACTACGGATTATCGTTGAATGACCAAATGAATAGAACTCGTCACCATACATAAACTTTCTTGACCATGAAAAGGCGTTTGGCAGTGTGGATAGGAAAACTTTATGGAACATTTTTTGACTCAGTGGTGTACGTGAGATCGTTGAAGTCACACGGAATTCGCATGACAGAATTCATGCGTGAAGGCTAGCTGACAGTCACCGTCAGCGGTGACATAACATGAACCCTTAGGACCGCTTTGGTTCTGCAAATCATAGCGACAGTGAACACAGACGCTACAGAAGTTACATCTAAATTCTGAGTCACCTGTTTAAACGTTCGACGGACATAAGTACAATTATAATTTTTGTCCTGTGTCTACCCAGTAGTGATTAGCACCAGGGACAGTTGAGGACGTCCTTTTCTCCAGTTTCCTTTTTGTCTGCCGGTCTTACTATGAGTAGGGATCAAGGTATGTGTGTGACCCTGATCTCTTGGTTGATTTCAGTGATTCATATTGCATGCATTACTCGAAGACTACTTCTCCAATGTCGTCTTGATTTTTTGACCAACCTGTTGTTAGAAACAAGACTTTCCTGCCTAACGATAACCTTCGAATTATCACTTCCACTCCTGTTAGTCAACTTCGTGATAGTGGTATTGCTACTCGT